TATGCAAACCGCTGCGTGGCGCTTGCTGCGGGGGCCAAGCCAGAGGACGTCGAGTACATACACCAATAAACCCTAAACCCTAAACCCTAAACCCTAAACCCTAGGAATCATTGCCACACGGCCTGCTCCTGCTGGGCACCAGCGCAGCCCGCCAGCGTCTGCTGAAAGTATCCATAGCTAGCTAAGTACAGCTAGCTAGCTACAGCTAGCTAAGTACAGCTAGCTAGCTAGCTACGCGGCGAGGCCAAATCCCCCAACAGGATTTTTATTTTTATTACAGACTGAAGTAAAGGCAGCTGGGTGGTGTTGGGGCTGCATGCACAGGCAGGTGACGACAGAGGGAATTGTAGCTAGCTAGCTAGCTAGCTGGCTAGCTAGAACCTAGCTAGCTAGCTAGCTAGCTAGCTAGGCACCTAGATAGGAGTATTTCTATGGATAGCTACCCGCTGGCTTAAGCCCTAGCTAGCTAGCTTTAGCTGGTAGCAGCTAGCCCTAGTTCGCTAGCTAGCTCTAGCTAGCGACTTCTAGCTAGCTACAGCTAGCTGCGGCTAGCTACAGCTAGCTGCGGCTAGCTACAGCTAGCTGCAGCTAGCTACAGCTAGCTACTCAGGGAGCCCGCTGTGCCCCTCTCTTATATGGTGGCTATGTTCTGTCGCCCATATATATAGAGCAGTCTGCATCTGGGTTTGTGCATATGTACACCTATATATATATATATATATATATATATATATATATATATATATATATATATATATATATATGTATAGCTAGTATTTGTATCTACATCTAATATTTATATTTATATTACTATTTATATATTTATATTTATATTTATACGCGGCCTTAGAAATATGAATATCAACGGAGGTTATATATAAAATATAAATATAAATATAAATATAAATATAAATATATAAATATAAATATAAATATAAATATAAATATAAATATAAACATAGAGTCGAGCAGATCTATATATACTTATGCGGACGAGCATCCACAGATACAGCCAGGCACCGCTATCATACAAATACATACATAGCAGCGAAGGCCTTAGCTAGCTAGCTAGCTAGCTAGCTAGCTGGAGAGCTAGCTAGCTAGAGAGCTAGCTAGCTAGAGAGCTAGCTAGCTAGCTAGCTGGCTAGCTAGCTAGCTAGCTGGGTGGTTGGCTGGCCCGCTCACTAGGTAGCTAGCTAGCCATGCGCATTGCGTCAGAGACGAACATTACCACCTGCTAAGCAGCTGTTGCTGCTGCTGTTGCTGCTGCTGTTGCTGCTGCTGTTGCTGCTGCTACTGTTGCTGCAGCAGCAGCAGCAGCAGCAACAGCAGCAACAGCGACAGTCTCGCTGAGCCACAGCCGCGAATACCGCATCGCTTGCTAAACCCTAAACCCTAAACCCTAAACCCTAAACCCTAAACCCTAAACCCTAGAGAGGCGGCAGTGCCTTTGCTGCTTCTAATATATGGTGAGGCATCAAAACCCTCGTGGGTATCTGCGTGTCTCTGTTTTGTCTCTTTTCGTTTCTGTCTCTTCTCTCTCCTTCTTCTTTGTTGGGGGCCCCCAGGGGGCCCCCACACTGCTCATAGTCACGAGCCTCTAGCTGCTCCGCACCAGCCACGATCTCTGCAGCAGCAGCAGCAGCAGCAGCAACAGCAGCAGCAGCAACAGCAACAGCAGCAGCAACATGAAAAGCCTGGCTACTGAAGCAGAAACTGTGAACTTGGGCAGAGGTATCTAAGCTGCCGCAACAGCAGCAACACCCCTCTATCAGCAGCAGCAACAGCAGCAACAGCAGCAGCAACAGCAGCAGCACCCCCAACCCCAACACCACCACCAGCGCCACCACCATCAGCAAGAGTAAGAACAGGATCACCAGCACGAACAGCAGCAGCAGCAACAGCAGTAGCACCAACACCCCCAG